CTGTGGCTCAAGTGGTAGAGCGCTAGCCTTGAGCTGAAGAGCTGAGGGACAGCGCCCAGGCCCAGAGTTCAGGCCCCACGACTGGACCCCTCCCCCTAAAAAAAGAAGTTTGGACTTTGTATTTTTGGGTTAGTGGTGCTCAATCTGTATTGCTTTTTTTTTTTAAAGAATCTTTTTGTTTATGTGGTACCAAGGACCTGAACCCAGAGTCTCATGCATGCTAGGCAAGCACTCTACCCCCAAGCCACACTCCCAGTCCTCAATCTGTATTATTTTATATGTACTAGAGTGTGTATGATCCCAAAGACAATGATTAGACATGGTGGACCATGTAATTCCATTACTGGAAAGATGAAGGCAACATAGTAAGACTCTGGGAGAAGGGGAGGACGAGGAGAGAAGAGGAAGGGGGTGGAGGGGAAAGAGGAGGAGGGGAATAGAAAAGAGGAGAAAGGGAGAGGGAGAAGAGAGAAAATACTTAGAACTGGGGTGTCTTTCAGTGGTAGAGCATTATGAGGTCTGGGGTTTGGTCCCCAGCACCACAAACACACCCACACCTCCCCTCCCAGAGATGTAAATGTGGGCAAGGCTGTGGAGGAACCCTCATACATTGATAGCAGAAATGTAAACTGATGCAGACGGCACTGCAAACCAATCTAACAGTTCTTCAAAAGGTTAAACATAGGAGTAAATGACCCTGAAACTCTCCTAGTTAGCCAAGAGAAATAGAAGAACATATTGACACAAAAGGTTGTACATGCAAGCTGATCACAGTATTATTCATTATAATCAAAACATGGGAGCAGCCAGCTGAGGAATGCACTAGCACATTGCTGTCTCCATACAACGAGATGTTATCCAGCATTCAACTAAAGAGCTAAAATATTCATATATGGTCCTACAGGGAAGAGTTTGAAAAGACCATCATGGTCTGATTCTCTTTGTATGAAATGTCCCAGAACATGCAAATCAGCAGGGGCAGAAAGGAGATTAGGAGTAACAAATGTGAATTTGAGGTTTCCTTCTGGAGTGGTAAAAATGTTCTAAAAGTTGTGATAGTTTGCATAACTCTGTAAATATACTAAGACCACTGAATTCTATGCTTTAAACTGGCAAAAATCTATGGCATATTATTTATATCTCAATAAAACCATATTTCCAAAGGCAGAGGCTGGGATGTAGCTAGTAACAAAGCATATGCTTAGCATGTGTGAGGCCCTGGCTTCAATCCCCTGCACTGAAAAAAGCAGTCAGCAGTTGACAAATGCACATTGTTGTAGTTCCAAACTAGCTTTGGTTTATCACCCTTTTACGTAGGATGTTCCTCTGAGACTAAGGAGGCCGAGGGTGCAGGACAGTCTGTGGTAAAATGTGGCAAATCCTAAAGAAATCAGGATGAGTTGGACATCCTCATTCAAAGGCACATTCCTTAGGAATGGGGTTTAGGATCTGCCTGACCTTACAGAGGGAAATTGCAGGGACTGTCCTGTTCTCAGCCTTGTGCTTAAGGAGGTTCAGAGTGGTGGAAACATTCTTAAATCTTTCAAGCAACAAAACATGCCTTACAATTAAAGAGGGAGGGAAAAACAAAACCAGAAAGAAAGCCTTTGGGAGAATCATCAGGACTCTCAGCTACATTGTCATGTAATAGTAACCATCACTATTTCCTGACCGAGGCCCTTACATTCACTCAACATCCTTTTCCTCACATATATTTCCCATCACTTTTCATATTTAGGCAGGTCATGTGACTAGTCCTGGTCAGGCAGAAATAGGCACAGGCCATGGTATGCCTACTTGGTCTCCTTCTTTCCTATTTCAGCCCAGCTTTCTTCCTAGCTGCTGCCCTGTTGATCTGCAGACTCAAGGACTATTACCACGTAAGAGACAGGAGCCACCAGCTTTGTGATTGTGTGTGTAGTCTAATCCTTACTCCAAAGCTTTTTTTCCTAAACTCCTGGCTGTGGTTCTACAGTCCTCTCAGACCCTAACCATTGCCAGATAGCCAGCTGTCCTTGGGCTAACATGATGTGTTTCTTGTCAGGTCCTAGGAGACATGGCCTATGGAAGACCATTCACCACCCATCCAGCTTTGATTCAGATGGTCACAGAGTGGGGATACCCAGGGCTGCAGTTAGAGGGCTATCTCATGGCCAGGCAACTAGAAGAGCAAGAAATCATTGACCCTTTATTTGCATGTATGAAAATATAGAGTGATGAAACCTGATAAAATTGTTTTAAGGAAAGGCACTCTGGCTCAAAGTGGTACAGTGTTAACCTTGAGCAGAAAAACTCAGGAACAGCATCCAGGCCCTGGGTTCAAGCCCCATGACGGACCCCCCCCAAAATGTTTAAAGAAGGGAGAGTGAGATAAGAGTCTTAGAAGAGCTGATGTTGATTGGATACATTGTTTATATGTCATAATGAAACCTCTTTGCACAACACTTGGGTGCCTTTGAACTACAGCCATAGGCTGTTTTCCTTTGTTTAAGCACACACTGTAAGTCCTAGGCATAGAGATGTGTTTCTTTTTCCAAGGCTGCCAAACTGGGTAGTTTAAAAACCAATACTTATTACTATAGTTCAGGAGGCTGAGAAGTGTTAAGAGCAAGCTGATTTGGTGTCTGGTGAGGTCCCACTTCCTTCTCTTTTGGCCACCTTCTCATCTGAAGGAAAGGGAGAATCAAAGCTCTCTTGAAACTCTAATCCATTTATGAAGACTCCACCCTCGTGGCTTGATCTAATGTGGATTAATTCCCAAAGACCCTACCTCCTCACCACCACATGACGGGGCAGAGCTTCAACATACAAATTTGGGTGGCACACAGATATCGATAACAAAAGACAAGTGGGTGACCCAAGTCAGGTGGGATTGTTTCCTCTGTCTGTGAAGACATCTCCCGAAGAACAAGTCAGACTCTTAGAATCGCTCTTAGAAGGGAAGGGATTTCACTTAGAGGTATAAGTTATGGGTCTTTTTGTCTAGACAAATTCTTTTTTAAAAATTTTTATATTTTTTATAGTAAAGATACTGTACAGAGGGGTTACAGTTACATGAGTAAGGAATGAGTACATTTCCTATGGAGCATTGTTGTCTAGACAAATTCTTTCTCCTTTTCTAACAATGTAGCCATTCCCTTTGCAACATGGGATGATTTAGACCCAGAAATTTCTTCTTTCACATGTCTTGTTCTTACATGTCTCTGAAAGATAGGTCTTTAAAAACCTAGTTTGAACTGATGACCACATCTAGGGAAAGAAAGCAGTTTTCTAAGAAAGGACTGTTACCAGTGGTGTCCCAGATGCTCACTGGTTCTTGGACAACAGTGTCTAAAATTAGAGCATCATTCCAATAAGGCAGAAGCAAAGGAAAGTACAGCAGAAAAGGAAACTTTTATTGTGAAAAGAAAGAGGCTTTTATTAGAAGTGACAGTATGCTCCTGGAGAGACTTGTGGAACAGGCAGTTCAGGAGAAAAGACCTGACTGCTTAAGCAGAGGAGACAGTACACCTCAAGGAGTGAGCTGAGCAGTTGGGATAAGGCTACTAGGTGGTTTGAAATGGAAGGCTTTTCCTTGTAGCTCCTCCCCATATGGTTTGCTGACTGCACAGTGGCTTGGGAAGTCATAGGCCTGCACTTTTTTGTTTTAGGTTCGTACTTTTGAGAGGATGAAGGCTAGTGTTTGCACATTTGATCCTAGAATCCCCTCTGTCTATCCATGACTAAACTGACAAGGGTATTGGGGCAGTTAGGGTCCTGTGGTTTTGTAGCTGGTTTCTTTCTTCTCTCTAACATTTTAATCAATCAAGTAGGTGTTGTACACAAGTTCTGGGATGGCACTTTGCTAGTGAGGATGCAGACTGAAATGAACAATGCTAGCTGATGGCTCACACCTGTAACCCTAGCTACTCAGGAGGCTGAGATCTGAGGATTGAGCCAGCCCAAAGCAGAAAAGTCTATGAGACTCTTATCTTCAAGTAACCAGCAAAAACTGGAGCTGTGACTCAAGTGATAGAGCATCAGCCTTGAGCAAAAAATACCAAGTGGGAGCCTGAAGCCCTGAGTTCAAGGCCAATTACTCATATAAAATCATAAAACAAACTAAAAAACGGAAATAGAAAGGAGGCTACTTAATCTATGACTGGCCTCCATGGTGCCTTTTCTTTCACCTTTTTTTCCCCTTTAACATTGCCAGGGATTGAACCCAGAACTTTATGCACACTAGACAAATGTTCTACCACCATGCTTTATCCCAAGCCCCATGGCTCCTTTCTTTTACTTAAGATGACTCAATCACAAAGCAGTGCATAGTCACCATAGAAAGTGTACAGTCAAACCAGGCGCTGGTAGCTCATGTCTATAATCCTAGCTACTCAGGAGGCTGAGATCTGAGGATCGTGGTTCAAAGCCAGCCCGGGCAGGAAAGTTCGTGAGATTCTTATCTCCAATAAACCGCTAGAAAACCGGAAGTGGTGCTGTGGCTCAAGCGGTAGAGCGCTCACCTTGAGCTGAAAAGCACAAGGACAGCGCCCAAGCCCAGAGTTCAAGCCCCACGACAAAACAAAGAAAAGAAAAAAAAAGAAAGTGTACAGTCATTAACACATACTGGGAAGGAAACAAGTAGACCGACTCCAGCTGCTTGTTCAAGTTGGAGGAGATAAACGATTGCTTGGTAATCTTGTAAATATGAAAAGTCAAGATTTTCCTGCCACAAAATGCAGGTTCCAGAGGGAGGCATCATTCTATACAGAAGAAAATGGAAAACATGAACAACTTGGTAGCTAAGTGGCAGGCGAGGACTCCAGGTAGGTGCCGGTAGTAGAAGTGAGGACATCCGCTCTTTCCCTCCCTCATGAGAAGCCTGGTAGAGAGAAGATTGTCCAGTGAGAATCTTCCAAGAGGAAAGGCCATGAAGGTAGGGACCCCTCGGCAGCACCTGGTGAAGGCTGTTCCTTGGAAGGAATCAAGGAAAGGGGGCAGGGTTCCCGGTTTGGGTTAACTGGGGACAGAGAGAAGAGAACAGCTGCAGAGAACAGGATGCCAGGGAAAATCAAGAGCTGCAGGAAGAGGAAATAGGAGTGAACATGAGCTCTAGCCTGGAAGTCAGCAGCGTTGGGGGAGGACCTTGGAATGCGCTTACTATATGGAGTGAAGACATGAGCCATTTTTGTTTAAATGTCACAGAAAGGATGAATCTGCAACAGGGAAAGCTTTGGGGGATGCATAGATGTCAGACAAATGAGTTACAAACAGGAAGGGGCAATATCCCTTTGTGCCCACTAAGACAGAGGAACTCCAAACACTTTGGTGTGTACCTTTCAGCCTTTCTATTCTATGTGCACATATCATTTCTATGTCTAATTTTGAAAGTGGGATTTAAGGTGCACATCACCTACTAGTCTGGTTTTTTCGGCTTTTTAAAATTTTTTCTGCTTATGTGGTGCTGAGGAATCGAACCCAGGGCCTCATGCATGCAAGGCCCTCATGCATGCAAGGCAAGAGCTCTACCACTGAGCCACCTTCCCAGCCCTAGTCTGGTTTTTTCTAGTTTGATGATATCACAAGCATCTTTCCATTTCAGTACAACTTCACCTTTGGCATCATTTCTAGGGTCTGTGTAGCATTCTATGTGGAAACCATAATGAGTACAATGAGCTTAAAGTCTTGTCTAGTCTTTGGGTTCTTATAACACAAACAGGTATTGGCCAACGTTTCAAATAGTTTTCTGTGATAGAGTAGTTTAGGTGGTACTTAGCACTGACTTCCAAGTTCTTAATGCCTTTCTGCCTTGCAGAGCTTGATGAGCTATAACACATTTCTTTTTTTTTTTTTGTCGGTCGTGGGGCTTGAACTCTGGGCCTGGGCGCTGTCCCTCAGCTCTTCAGCTCAAGGCGAGTGCTCTACCACTTGAGCTACAGCGCCACTTCTGGTTTTTCTGGTGGTTATTGGAGATAGGAGTCTCACGGTCTTTCCTGCCCGGGCTGGCTTTGAACCGTGATCCTCAGATCTCAGCCTCCTGAGTAGCTAGGATTACAGGCGTGAGCCACCAGCACCCGGCGCTATAACACATTTCTAGACTCCCTTGCATCTTGGGTTATGAAGGTGACTTGTTTTCTAGTACTCCTGTGAGGGTTGAAAGGTCACAGCTAGACACAGGCTATTTTCGGACTGCTTTTGGCTTTGTTTGTCTTTATGTATTAGGAAGATTCTAGAGATGAATCAATTAATCAACTAAGAGGTACAGAGAAACAGTTGCTTGGATGACTGCTTCTTTGTCTTGATGCTTGAGGGGTTGAGTAACATGACCAAGGTTACATGACTAACAGGTGTGATTCAAGTTATGTGTGTGAATTCAGCTTTTCAATGTGTCTTTGAAGCTCTGGCTGCTGTAAGGGTAGGGCTTCCCTGTTGGGTCCAGATTGGGTATATTCTGAGAATCCTTCCTGAAAGCCCAGCCTACAATGCACCCCTCAGTTCTTCCTATTATTTTTCAAATTCTCTGTTCTAGTCTATGCTTCTCTGCATTAAATATCTAGAGCCATTTTGGTTTCCTACACTGAGACCTCCCTAGTACAATAAGGGAGACACCCTTCTAGGATCTGGATAGGGCTATCTCCAACAATTCCTAATTATAATCATGTCATGGTTTCAGATTAATAATCAGGTTCCAACAAGCAGGGGCAAATGTCTGTTCTTTGGTTCATTCAGAGAACAACCCAATGAAGGAAGTGAGGAACCATGACCCCCAGCTAGGCTGGTCTTCCGTGAGTCTCATCTTCCAGGAGATGAATTTCCAGGAGGGGGATGGAAATTCCTCTGGCTGTGTGCTTACTGTGTGTCAGAGCCTGACACAGTACCTCAAACACCACCTCAACCCTGACTCACTGCAACCCTGCAAAGGAGACATGATTACCCTGTATACAAAATGGGAGACAGATTCAGAAAGATGAAAACAATCTGCCTAAGATGTTCCAGAGAATACATGACAGAATGTGTGTTAACAAATCAGATCTGCTTGAATACTCAGCCTATACTTGTTTACATGTCTCCATCTCTCTCTCTCTTTTTTTTTTTTTTCAGGGGCAGGGTGCTGGTACTCGGGCTTGAACTCAGGCACTTGCATGCTCAAGGCTGGCACTTTTTCACTTGAGCCACATCTCCACTTTCACCTTTTAGTGGTTAATTGGAGATAAGAGCC